AGGCGCATAAGACCCAACAGTTGTAACTATTGTTGGTCTTGCAATTACTGGTTGTGTTGTGGTAACTATATTCGGAGATGTCGAAGATATGATCGCCAGACTAGAACCTAAACTCGCCACCACACTAATATTTCCTCCCGTATTCTGATCCCTTTCAGAAGTTCTAGGATCTAGCATTTTCTACCACTTCTTAATTTCATGCACGAAACAAGAAGGCTCAAACACAAATGTGTCCCACCGAATGTTCCAATTTGTTTCTTCGCGAAACATTTGCTAGCCTCTTATTAAAGGTTACATGCAGGATCGGCTGCAATAATCCTAGACCTAGTGTTTAGTGTGTTTTTGGGTTTAAAAAAGGGTAAAATGGAAAAAAGTATAGACAATTGCAAAGTAAATAATTCAAAGACTAGGCTTGTACTTTAAAGTGAAAAGAATTTAAATATGGAAACATTCATACATTGTTATGCTTGAACTCGTTTCTCTCTTAGATGCAAATACTTTGAGTGTATTGCTATTAAATATGAAGAAATGTGACGCCTAACACAAATAAAGAATTTTGCTTAAATAAACATCTTAACTATGTAACTGTCGATGGTTACTAGCCCATGTTTGGACTTTGTGGGAATCATTTGAATTTTCCCATGTTCTTGTTGGCTTGTACATTGGTAACTATTCCCGTAAATGTTCATTGCTTCTTCGACCTTTATACTCATAGAGAACTTCCTCTAATCTTTATATCCTTGTCGACTTGTTTGTTCGCTCGATGTCCTTCTCCTGCTCGACGCATCTTGTTGTATTTCACTAATTTAGGCATCTTTAGCCAACTAAACCCCACAACTTAAGGTTTATTCCTCCTTTTCGAAAATTTCCTGTCAACAGCCTCATAATTGGCTGGGCCTAACTGAGTAGTCGGATCTGGTATCTTAGGGATGATCTCCTATATTAACCCATATATCATTATTTGTCTGAGTCTGTACCTTGGCCTTGATAAAAATATTTCGAGGATGTGTACAAAATCTATTTAAGAAGCTGGGCACGGATTAGGGTGATGCGGTAACACTTATGTTTGATAATGTATTTGCTATAAACATTCTAAGAATCTAATTTCATATGGGTGGAGCAAGCATATTGAGATGAGATTTTACTACTTGAGACAACTTATAAGTGAAGAAAGGTAAAAATTGAGATATTGTAAAAGTGAAGACCAAGTGGCTGATTTGTTAACCAATGGAGTTAAAATTGAAGTGCTCAAGAGATTTATGATTAATATGGGCATGGAATACTTGGAGCACTTGAATCAAGATGGTATGTTATGTGAAAATCCAATAATTCAAGTGTTGTAACTGGTTACCACGGATGTGTAATTGGTTACAACTATGAAGAAAAGTCAAATAAGCTGGAAATAAGTTGATTTTTGGTGGGTGTAACTGGTTACGCATTCGCAGTAACCTATTACCACTATTGTGGTTTTTAGTCTTTGTAGAAGCTATAACCAGTTATAGTTCTTGTGTAACCGGTTACAGGCAAATAATTTTTTTTTAGCTTATGTTACTTGTATCCCAATCATACTGTCAATTATATAAATACCAAGGAGTATCCTCATGAAATGTTAATAAAAGTGCATATTCTCACCCTCAATCATATTCTCTTTATCATCCTCTTTATCTCTCTCCCTTACTCACCATATTCAAACCATTCATTTTCACCAACCTTGTGATTCCAAGTTCTTACATTAACATCGAAAATCATTTTCATTAAATTATAAAATTCATTCATTTATCTCGATTATGTATACAAAATTGATGTTATAAATATTCATAGTGTTGTGGTTGGTTGAAGATATAAATGTTAAGAAGTCACAAGTCCCTTAGTTTTGTAAAGGAAGTGGAGTCTAAGACCATATAAAGGGTTCAAGTTCTTTGTTACAAGATGTACTGGTCAAAAGCACTTTAAGCTTGTATTTGACTTTTTATATTTTCTCTTATACTCTTGTGTAAGAGTATTTTCATGGGTAGTTAAATATTTGCTTTGGATAGTGCAGGTGTATTGGCGTCTTGGAATGGTTGATGGTAGTCTATGTGTTACAACAATTTTCACATAGTGTTATTCTCTAATTCTCATTTGATAATGGTCGTGGTTTTTTATTTTATTTTGGAGTTTTCATGTTAATCTCTTGTGTTGTTATTGTGTTTATCTTTTTTCTTTATGCTTTGTTTTTTTTCTGACAATAGGTATCAAGAGTATTGGTTTGGTGGGGTATACATTTTTTTGGATGCTTTGTGGTTGAAGTTTTTTCTGATCTTCCACATCACAATAGAAATTTTATAATCTGTAATGGTTAACAAAATTTAGTTTTGCTGCATGTAGGGGTGAGAATAGGCTGGGTTGAGTTACGCTTTGCCAAGTCTGAGCCTGGCCTACCAAAAAATTCAAAGCCTAAGCCTGTCCTGTGGCCTATCATAGGCTTATTTTCGGCACCTAGACTTTTCGAAGACCTGATTAGCCTATTAGATTGTTAAAAAAGCCTGAATCATTTGAACATATATAAGTAAGCAGTTCTATTAATTTTTAAATTTACTAGAGAATTAAAAGTACAATGAGACTAAATGTTTGTTTATATTGACTTATTTGAGCTTACATAGTAGCATAAGTTTGATGAGAATATTTGTTTGAGAGAACATATAAAAATAACTTATGACATTATTCATAAGGTTTTTTCAACTTATTTTCACAAGTTCTTCAAGATAAATAAATTTACTTTTGTATTTTAATATATAGAATAAAATACAATATAAAAATAACAAATTTATTCATATTTATTAAAATAGGCCGACCTGATAGATTTGAGAAGCTTTTTTTATGGTTTGTGGCCTAACCTATTTAACTAAATAGACTTATAAAAAAACCTAGGTCTTTTCTACTTGAGAAAAGCCTGGTCTGCCCTTGGCCTGTGTAGACTAGGTCGTAGGCACCTCTTAGTTGGTTTGGCCTATTCCCACCCCTAGCTGCAAGAAAGGTTTCAGTTGTAATGTCAAATTTTCCAAGTGTATTGAAGACTGGCTTAGAGAAATTCGATGAAATAATTAATCTTACCTTAAGGAAAATTCAAGCCAAAGATGTTTTAATATAATTAGGATTAGACAAGGTGTTGAAAGAAAAAAAAATTTAATATGGAAAACGAGATGTAGGAGGACTAGATTTGAGAGCTTCGACTATAATCTTCATGTCTTTGGCTAAGAATATTCCATTGAATATTCTTGGTACATCGTTAACCAAAGATCTTTGGGAGAAACTTGAAGAAATATATCAAAGAAAGGGTATATCAAATTAGTTGTTGTTGAAGGAGCAGTTTTATAGCTTGCAAATGGATGAATATATACAAGTATATGATCATCTAAGTGTTCTAAATAGTATTGTTTCTGAATTAGAAATTATTAGAGTCAAGATTGACGATGAAGATAAATCTTTGAGACTCATATGGTATTTCCTGTCTTTCTTTGGGTTATTAAACTTTTTTTGATATATGTGAAGGAAACTTTGAATTTTGAAGAAGTTGCTAATAAAATTATTTCTGAAGAAAAAGATTTAAGGGTGAGTATAATACTTCATCAAACTTAGTATTGGTTGCTAAAGAAAAGCATAATATGAAGAAAAACAATTAAACAGGTGTGCGATGTTGGAAATACATAAATATTGAACATATAAATCATAAGTGTCATGATGGGATAGTGTTAGAGAAGGATTCTGAGTCAAATACTAACAATCTCCCTCGTTGTGAGAGAGACGATCTTCTTCCAAAATTATGAAGTGTGTCCTCATGACATTTTCGATATGATGGAAAATGACGAGTTATTCCTACCAGATTAACACACACAGGTATGATGCAAAGTGTGTTGTGAGATTATATCATGATTGAAGAGCTTCCTACCAATATGGAAGTTGCATCAAAAGTTTTCAACCTGTTTTCGACATGTGAAAATTCTTGAAGTGGTATAACTTTAATTGAAGTATACTTTTATTTAGGTTAAGTATGATTTTTTTAAACTATGATTGTCGGTGAAGACAGTCGGGATATTCTTGAAGTGGTGTAGTGTCAAGTAACTATAATCTTTATGGTGAAGAATGATTGTCGGTAAAGACAATGAAAGTTAATGTATTATTTTCAATCAAGATGTAGATTGTTCGGGTTGGTTAAAAATATATTTGTTAAAGAAATCACACATCACTTAATTTGGTAAAGGAAGAGAGAGTCTAAGGCTATATAAGATACTCAAGTTCTTTATTATAAGATTTACTAGTCCAAAGTATTTTAAGTTTATATTAGATTTTTTTATATTTTCTTTTATGCTCTTGTATTAAAATGTTGTGAGGATTAATTAAATATTTTTCTTTGGAGAGGAGAGGTGTATCGAAACTTTAGATAATTAAAAAAAAAAAAATATATATATATATATATATATATATATATATATATATATATATATATATATATATATATATATATATATATATATATATATATATATATAATGTCCACGTGGTATTATTTTCTAATTTTCATTTAACATCCATCATAATTTTTTCTCTGAATTTAAAAATTTCTATGTTAATTTTTTGTGTTATTATTGTCTTTCTTTTTTCTCTATGCTTTATTTTTTTTTCCAACACATAGATTCGTTGTTTTACATTAAGTAACTTAAAATTCATCACTTTCTATACTGCAAAACCAAAAAGCTAAGTACTATTTAACAAAAAACCATCAAAAAAATACTACTATATATTTTTTATTATTACAAAATAAGAATTTGAATCCTCCAGAATAGGAATTTTCACACATTCAAACAATCAACATGATTTAGAACATTGAATCTTAATAGTATGACTCTTGTAAAAAAAAATCTTAATAGTATGACTCACACAAAAACAACTTGAATTTTCCCAGAAATATCTGATCTCGATCGCGTGAATGCGAACATTTTAAACTGCACCAAACACTATTATCACACCGATTCGATACCACGGTCGCCGTTGAGGTTGGTACGACAAACAGGACAAGTGGCATGGGTAGAAAGCCAAGCATCAATACATGGAGGATGAAAGAAATGGTTACATTGAGGTAACACACGAATGGTGTCATTATGATCGAAGTCAGTGAGACACACAGTACATGGTAGAGGACCTTCATCACCTTCCTTAACATGTTTGGTGATGGAAGAGTACAATACAATTGGGAAAGTTTTGAGTAGTTGTGGATTTATACCAATGCCAACTCCATATTTTGATGACTCCAACAATATGTAGCGGCCAAGGAACAAGAAGAAGATGAAAATTAAGAGAAGTGTTGCAATGGCGGCTCCAACAATTACACCAAACGGCGGTACATCCCATAATGCTGTTGGAGATCCGTAAGGACAGGGTGGTTGTTTCGCCGGCTGAACTTCTGCAGTAACGTAGTGATGATGGTAAGAAACAAGAAGGAGGAGGAAGATGAAAATGGGACTCAAATTTGAGTGTGTCATTGAGTCTAACATATTTTTATGGAGAAAATAATAAACCCATAATCCCTTCATTTCTTTGACACAATACTAAAAAAAAAGTAGTTTCTTTAGCTGATTTATGTTCTTTCCTAATTTACTTTTTTTTTATGAAAATCTTTCTTTAAAGAAATGAGTCATCAAAAACAATTGTATTTTTTGTTTGTTTGGGTTTAGTAAAAAAAACAACTGTATTTGTCCAAGCATTATCCTTTTTTTAGTCAATTGTGTTTTAAATGAAATGAATGAATGTCTTAATAAAAGTAAAAGTAAAGATTTATTTTTGTTTTGAGAAAAAAAATGTGGTATTTAAAACTTCAGAATCCGTTTTTTAGAACATAGAAAAAAATAATTTGTATAGTTCTACATATTTTGATAAATATAATTTAAAAGAGAACTTTTATAAAATAAATTTATATGAAAAATCAATTTAATTAGCTTCTAGTAAACATATATTTAGTATTTTATTTTTTTGTTACCATTTTTCTAAATATAAAATACTTTTTATTAATAAAATCAAAATAATATAGAAAAAACAAGCAAACGGATAATAAACTGCGCCGCTATTTTTTTATAATAAAATAAATCCTCTTAAAATTACATTATAATAAATTATTATACGAGACTCAATGTTACTATGCATAAACCATTACAATTTTTATAATATTAAAACATAAAAATATTGAGATTTGAGTTATCTTTTAAAAAATTCGTACCTATTAATTTTATATTTTTTAATAAAAATATGTAACTTTTTAATATATTAATACTTTTCAACGATAAATATTAAAATTATTGAATGTCAAATTTACACTTTTGATTTATAACAAATAAACTTAAAATAAGTTCTACAATTTCAGAAAAAGTTTAAAAAAAATCAAATATTACTATACAAAGATAAAGTTATTTTTCTAATCTAAAACAAATAAATTTTAGTCAATGATAAAAATAAGCTGAAAAACATAGTCTTTACATTCATTACACATTGTTTGAATTTTAGAGGAAACAAAGATGGAAAAAAGAAATAAAATGAATTAAACAAATGAAAATAAAAAAAATAAATAGACAATACAATAATTTTAATATATATATATATATATATATATATATATATATATATATATATATATATATATATATATATATATATATATATATATATATATATATATATATATATATATATATATATATATATATATATATATATATATATATATATATATATATATATATATATTAAATTATATTTGATTAGATTTAATAATTAAATATAATCTGAGTTGTGTAGACCCAAGTCTAATTAGGGTTGTATATAAATATTCATAGTCTGTATCATTATTTGTACGATTCAATAATATAAATCTTTATTTCCTTTACTATTCTCTCTTTCTCTCCTCACTAAAAGTGCCTCACGCACTAACAAATTGGTATCAGACATCCCGTTATTGTTCTTGATCGAGTTTTCAAGAATTTCACGTCAGAGATCGTATTTTTATGGCAAGTGAATCAACCGTTGTGAAGATGGCTAATGATAAGGGCATTCCAAATTCTCTTCCAAAGCTAGACGACAAGAATTAAATCTGATGGAAAAAACAGATGCAATCCTTGTTTGGCTTCCATGAAACCCTAGAAGTGTTTACCGATAGCGTTCCTGTGTTGGCTGCAAATGCAACCGAAAAACAGAAGAAAAAAATCCACAACAAAGTCAAGAAGAAAGATTGTAAGGCTGCTTATTATATTCAGACGGCGGTCGATACTGCTAATTTCGACAGAATCTCTCATGCTGACACGATGAAGGAGGCGTGGGATATTCTGGTGAAATATTACAAATAAGGTGAGAAAGTCAAGGTTGTCAAGTTACAAACCTTACGTCGATAATATGAGTTATTGTCGATGAGAGAAGATGAAAAAGTTGCATAATATGTGTCGAAGGTTCAAAAACTTGTCCATCTCATGAAGGGTTGTGGTGAAACCATAAATGATAAGATGATAGTTGAGAAGGTAATGAGAATGTTAACCTCTCACTTTGATCACATTATCGTAGCTATTCAAGAATTCAACAATCTTGAAACCACTAAAGTGGAAGATTTGGTTGGTTCATTGGAGGCGCATGAGATGAGGATTTTCGAAAGGAAAGGAGTGCAAGACTCGATACAAGCTCTGCAAGCTCAGTCATGGAAAAAGGATGGTGGTTCCAACAAGTTCAAAGAAAAGTTCGACAAGACTCAGGGCATAAAGTCTTGGTCAAAACCTCACAAACATCAAGTTGAAGATAGAGCTTCTGAATCCTCGAAAAGAGGAGGAGGAAACTATCGAAAGGGCAAAGAAGATAAAAAAGGTGTGCAGTGCTATAACTGTGAAAAGTGGGGTCACGTAAACAAGAATTGTTGGTATATAAAAGATAAGGGATCGACAAGCAAGGACGAAGGAGCGAACCTTGCATGCCAAGATTCAAATGATTCTGAAGGTGGTATGGTGGTTATGGCTACAGTTGCAGATAATCATGTCGAATCTAAAATATGGTTTCTCGACTCAAGCTGCTCGAACCACATGACTGGTCGAACGGAGTGGTTGACAGATTTTGATGAGTCTAAGAAGAGAAAGGTAAAACTTGTTGATAATAGTTCGTTACAAGCATAAGGTACCGGCAATATAGTCTTTCAAATGAGTAATGGAGGGAAAGATATGATCAAAAATATGCTTTATGTACCTAGAATAGAGTGAAAATTGCTAAGTGTTAGACAACTAGTCCAAAAAGGTTTCTCAGTTATCTTGAAAGATGGAATTTTGAAATTGTTCGACACCAGGAACAATCTGGTCTTAAAATCTTCATTGTCGAAGAAAAGGACATTTAAGACTATGATCAGTTCGACTGAAGTTCAATGTTTGAAAATTATTGTTGACCACAATGTCGATGAAGAAACTGATGAAGTAGAGGTCAAAGGAATTGTTGAGAATTCAGTCGAAGTAGAAGAAGAAGAAGAAGTTGCTGGCATTCCTAACACAGTCGAAGTCGAAGAGGCTGCGGCTGAAACAAGCCAAAGACCTCAAAGAAATAGAGTTCTTCCAACAAGACTTCATGATTATGAAGCGGTGGGTGATGATGAAGTCACATCAGATGGAAAAGTAGTTTATTTTGTTTTACTTGCAAGTGCTGAACCAATTAACTATAGAGAAGCTTTTAAGACTAAACAGTGGAAGTTAGCTATGGTCGAAGAGTTACAGGAAATCGAAAGAAATAACACATGGGAGTTAGTCAAATTGCATACACATATAAAAGTTATGGAAGTAAAGTGGGTATTCAAGTTGAACCATAATGTTGATGGCTCGATAGCAAGACATAAAGCAAGATTAGTAGCTCGTGGGTTTCTTCAAAGAGAACGACTCGACTACTCTGAAGTATTTTCTCCAGTAGGAAGATCGTAGGCTCTTCAACTAGTGGTAGCATTAGCGTGCAGCCAAGGCTGGTTGACATTTCATTTAAATGTGAAATCAACATTTCTGAATGGTCCTTTAGACGATGAGGTCTATGTCACACAACCTTCAGGGTTTGTAATTCAGAAGAAATCGAGTAAAGTATATAAGTTGCACAAAGCGCTCTATGGCCTCAATTAGGCACCTAGGGCATGGAACAAGAATATTGACTCATACTTAGTCGAATTGGGATTTGTCAAATATAAATCTGAGTATGGTGTCTATGTTCAGGTTGTAGCACAAGATATAACAATCATCTGCTTATATGTCGATGACTTGCTAGTGACTGGAAATAGCTTGGAGAACTTGTAGAAGTTCAAAGAGATGATGATGAAGGAATTTTAAATTCCTGATCTGGGAAAATTGTCTTATTTCTTAGGTATAAAATTTCAAATTTCGAAGAAAGGTATGGTGCTACATCAAAGTAAGTATGACAAAGAAATACTCAAGAGATTCAAAATGGATGATTCGAATCCAGCATCCTCACCTGTCGAACCAAATGTAAAATTGGAGAAGAATGGAGAGGAAGACAAAGTCGATATAACTTTGTTCAAGAAAATTGTGGAATCTCTGAGATATGTGAGCAACAGTCAACCTGATATAGGTTTCATTGTAGGATTAGTAAGTAGTTATATGAGTGAACCAAGAGTGTCACATATGAAGGCTGCAAGAAGAATCCTGAGATATTTGAAGGGTTCGATAAACTGTGGAATACTATTTTGACGAGATTGTGAGGACAAAGAAGCATAGTTAATTGTTTTTTAGATGCTGATTGGTGTGGAGATAAGGAAGATCGAAGAAGCACAACTAGATATTTTTTCAAGTATTTGGTGCTCCGATCTCATGGTGTTCGAAGAAACAATCTGTGGTGGAATTATCATCTTGTGAAGCTGAATATATAGTAGGATCCTATGTTTCTTGTCAAGTAATTTGAATCAAGTCTGTACTTGAAGAAAGAAAGGTCAAAGTGAAGAAACCTCTTGTATTGAAAACCGGCAACAAGTCAGTCATAAATCTGGCGAAGAATCCAGTTCTTCATGGAAGAAGTAAACATATTGAAGCAAGGTTTCACTTCTTGAGGGTAAAGGTAAATCGAGGTGAACTCAAAGTAAGGCATTGCTCGAGTGAAGCACAGTTGGCCGACATTTTCACCAAAGGATTGAAGATTGACAAATTCCTGAATTTGAGAAAGAAATTAGGAATAGTTTAGATTGACTATTTTTGAGAATTTTTGACAACTTAGATTATGGGGGGGTGTTGTACCCCAAAAATTTCCCTCTCATTTTACCAAGATTCTCCTCACAAGACTTCTTGGACTCAAGACCAGATTAGGGCTTGCTTAGCTCAAGACCTCTTCTTGCACTGATGACCTGAAATTAGGGTTTTAGTTTGCACAAGGATTTTTGGACTTCCAATTCTTCATGTGAATTTCATACTTCATGTTGGACCTCTAAGATTGCTCAAACCAAGTTTCAAGCCTTGAATCACTTTTTTGCCCAGTCAATTGGACAGTTGACCTA